GCTCGCGCTCAACTTCATCAACGTGGCGAGCCTTGCACGTGAGAGGCACAGTGGAGGTGGAGTTCAAAGAAGAATGAGAAATTTAATGGTTTCAATCTGCCCTTGTTTTTTCTTTTTGTTTTTATTTTTGCATGTTATCACTGTGCCCGTTTTTTGCTTTTATTCTTTGTTCCGCAAAGTGCGCTCTTTTAGTTTGTAGTGATGTGACAATATATATGTGAGTTAGTGAAACTCCGATGAAACAGTGTCATAGCCACTCGTTTGTTGTCCTCTTCTCCCTCTCTGCGGACGGTTTACCGGGCAGTTCTATTTGACGATATATGTGGCTAAATAAAATCCAAAAAAAAAAAAATCTGACTTTCAATTTTGGACCTCAGCACCCAGCTGTTCATGGTGTTTTAAGATTAGTTTTGGATATGAATGGAGAATTGGTGGCTGTCTGTTCTGCTCCAGAAGTTTCTACGGCCTACTGGGTCCAGGCACACATTTGCCGACAGCAAATCTGGGCTTCCCAGATTGAGAAATCTCCACCGTTCAGGGATGCAGTCTGAGGCAGGCTACGACTGGTCATCTCTAGAAAAGAGCTGCCTGCCCCCAGCGGCCATTGATTCTGCCTCTCACTGCTACAGCACATGCCCTACAGTGTGCGACTCCAGTGCGTGTGCTACAGTGTGTGGCTACAGTGCACGTGTCAGTGTGTGGCCACAGTACATGTGTCACAGTGCATGGCTGCAGTGCAAGTGCTACAGTGTGCAGCTACAGTACACGCGCTACAGTGCACACACTGCTACAGTGCGCTGCTACAGTGAGTGTGAAAGGAGGCAGGGAGGAAGGAGAGAACCACCAGAGTTAGAGTAGAGAGAGAGAGTGAGGAAGAGTGTGATGACGGCTTGTGAGAAGAGAGAGTGAGAGAGTGTGGGAAGCTGACCTTTGCACTGGTGATACTGGAGCTGCTGCTGGTTGCATGGGGAACAAAGGCAGGCAGCAACCTCCACAGCAAGCATTTATGCTGGAGGTCGGGCACCATAGCTGGTACGTGCACAGAGACTTCATGAGTGTTTTCAGGGAAGACTTGCATGCCGAGGTTGCTATTTAAGGGGGGAATTTCTTGAAGGTGAAGATGGGAGGAAGAGCCGTTTCAATTGTCTTGTCCCTACACTATTAAAATTGCTAGCGTCACAAGGCTTAGCCTGAAATACGGGCTGTCGCGATATCCGCTCTGATCGGTTTCAAATCTGATCTGCGGTCCATCGAGACCCTTTAAAGAGAGCAAAAAAAATGCAAGGGGGAGAGAGAGAGAGAGAGAGAGAGAGAGAGAGAG